CTTTTTGTTGCGTTCCCTTGTTGTTGTGTTCCCTTGTTGTTGTGACCACTTGTTGTTGTGTCCCCTTGTTGTTGTGTCCCTTTTTGTTGTGTTCCCTTGTTGTTGTGACCACTTGTTGTTGTGTCCCCTTGTTGTTGTGTCCCCTTGTTGTTGTGTCCCGTTGTTGTTGTGTCCCCTTGTTGCTGTGTCCACTTGTTATTGTGTCCCTTGTTGTTGTGTCCCTTGTTGCTGTGTCCGCTTGTTGTTGTGTCCCCTTGTTGCTGTGTCCCATTGTTGTTGTGTCCCCTTGTTGCTCTGTCCCCTTGTTGCCGTGTCCATTTGTTGCTGTGTCCCCTTGTTGCGTGTCCCTCGTTGCCTTGTCCCCTTGTTGTTGTGTCCCCTTGTTGCTGTGTCCCCTTGTTGCCGTGTCCCCTTGTTGCCGTGTCCCCTTGTTGTCGTGTCCCCTGTTGCCGTGTCCCCTTGTTGCCGTGTCCCCTTGTTGCCGTGTCCCCTTGTTGCCGTGTCCCCTTGTTGCTGTGTCCCCTTGTTGCCGTGTCCCCTTGTTGCCGTGTCCCTTGTTGCCGTGTCCCCTTTTTGCTGTGTCCCCTTGTTGCCGTGTCCCCTTGTTGCCGTGTCCCCTTGTTGCCGTGTCCCCTTGTTGCTGTGTCCCCTTGTTGCCGTGTCCCCTTGTTGCCGTGTCCCCTTGTTGCCGTGTCCCCTTGTTGCCGTGTCCCCTTGTTGCCGTGTCCCCTTGTTGCCGTGTCCCCTTGTTGCCGTGTCCCCTTGTTGCCGTGTCCCCTTGTTGCCGTGTCCACTTGTTGCCGTGTCCCCTTGTTGCCGTGTCCCCTTGTTGCCGTGTCCCCTTGTTGCCGTGTCCCCTTGTTGCCGTGTCCCCTTGTTGCCGTGTCCCCTTGTTGCCGTGTCCTACCTCTGAAACATTCTGTCCCTGTTCACCTTCTCACTGCCTCTCAGTATTTTATATGCTGTTATCATGTCTCCCATGCACCTCGTTTTCTCCAGTGTCATTAGGTTAAGTTTCTTACCTTCTCCACATAAACATACCGCTCAGCTCCTGGGCTAGTCTTGTTGCAAACTTTTCTTCTTTCTCCAGTTTCGTGATATGTTTGACCAGGTGTGGGCTAAATACTGGTGCTGTATACTCCAATATAGGCCTAACGTACATGGTGTATAATGTCTGACGTACATGGTGTACATTGTCTGACATACATGGTGTACAGTGTCTGACATACATGGTGTACAGTGTCTGACGTACATGGTGTACAGTGTCTGACATACATGGTGTACAGTGTCTGACATACATGGTGTACAGTGTCTGACATACGTGGTGTACAGTGTCTGACATACGTGGTGTACAGCGTCTGACATACGTGGTGTACGGTGTCTGACATACGTGGTGTACAGCGTCTGACATACGTGGTGTACAGTGTCTGACGTACGTGGTGTACAGTGTCATGAATGGCTCCTTAGGTTTGCCAAGCGTCCATAATGCTGCAGCAATTTGATTGTTGTGCTCCTCGGGATATGCTCGGTATAATGTCTTGTAAGACTGTAGTGTGTCTTGTAAGACTAGTATGTCTTGTAAGACTGTCATGAAGCTTGGGGAAGGGCAAAGAAGACCACAGACAGAGTTCAGGCTAGGGGATTAAAGGCTGCCAACCTAACTTAAGGAAAAGGATCTCGGGGTGAGATATTCTCACCCCGAGATCCTTTTCCTTAAGTTAGGTTGGCAGCCTTTAATCCCCTAGCCTGAACTCTGTCTGTGGTCTTCTTTGCCCTTCCCCAAGCTTCATGACTTTGCACTTACTGGGGTTAAACTCCAGGAGCCATTTGTTTGACCAGGCTTGCAACCTGTCCAGATTCCCTTGTAGCCTTACCTGGTCCTCATCCGCTTGTATTTCCTTCTTAGTTTCACATGATCAGATAACAGGGACATCTCAATCTGTTCCTTCAATCATATTATTCTTATACATTTACCCTTGTGGAACCCCACTCGTCACAGGCGCCCACTCTGACACCTCATCACGTACCAACACTCGTTATTTCTTTCTTGTCAGGTATTCCCTGATCCACTACAGTGCTTTCCCTACTATTTCTGCTGTTCCCTTACTTGTTGAACCAGTCTCTTTTGTGGTACTGTGTCGACAGCCTTCTTACAGTCCACAGAAATGCAGTCTGCCCACTCCTCTCTCTCTCCTGTTAAACTTCTGTTACCTTGTTGTAGAACTCAAATATGTTTGTGACACAGGATTTCTCATCCCTGAATCCATGCTGATTGTCATCATTATGCCCAATCTTTTCTAGTTGCTCCATAACTCTCCTCCTGATAATCTTCTCCATGATTTTGCCTACTATACATGTCAGTGACACTGGTCTGTAGTTTAATGCTGTCTATCTGTCTTCTTTCTTAAAAACTGGAACAATATTTGCTGTCTTCCACACCTCGGACAGTTGCCCAAGCTGCTGTTAATGGCACACACTGCCTCTGCTTCCTCTCTCAAGACCCAAGGAGAGATGTTATCTGGGACCATTACCTTTGTGGTATGTAGTTCACCTAGTAGTTTCTTCACCTCCTCCTTGGTTATATGCAGTGCATCCAGCACTTGCTGGTGCACCCTACCACCTAAGTTTGCTGGAAGCATTTCTGTCTTTACTGTGAATACTTCTCTAAATCTTGTGTTAAGCTCTTCAAATACTTTCTGGTCAGTTTTGTGAGCTCCTGTCCTTCCTCCTTCAGTCTGATCACCTGGCCCTTGACTGTTGTTTTCCTCCTGATGTGACTGTGTAAAAACTTTGGGTCAGATTTGGCTTTTGATGCTGTCATTCTAATATTGCCACTGAATCTCTCCTTATCCATGCGTATTTGTTTCTGGTTCTTCAGCTCAGTTACTTGTTTTCTTGAGTCCTTTGCCTTCTATACTTTTTCCATGCTCTAGCACACTTGACTTTAACCTCTTTACACCTCCAGGTAAACATAGACTCACTCTGGTCTTTCCATTTTTCTGTTACCCCTTGATACAAACTTCTCTGCCTCCCCTGTGCTTTGTGGTCACTTGTTCCATCATTGTATTTACTGTCTTTTCCTCCAGTTGTTTTGCCCACTGCACCTCATGCAGGAATTGCCTTATACCTGTGTAGTCCGTTTTTTGAAGATTGGCTTTCTGTCTTCCTCGTGTCCCTTCACCCTCCACTGTTAACTCTACAAGGTATTCAAAACTCAGGACATTATAATCACTAGCACCAAGGTTACTTTCGTGTGTAATATTCCCTGTGTCTAAACTGTTTAAGGTGAATACAAGGTCCAACCTTGCTGGTACATCTTCTCTTTCTCTGGTTGTATCACTGGTACATAATGTTTTCCAATATGTTCTCTGGCATCTTAACCTTCCATGTTTCTGGGCCCTCATGTGGCTCTAGGTTTTCCCAGTCACTCTCTTTGTGGTTGAAATTTCCCTTGATGAGTAACTTTACCCTACCCATGTGGGCCCTTCTGGCCACCTCAGCTAGTGCATTCATCATTGCTCTGTTGCTCTCATCAGTCTTGGTCTCTTGCTGCTCAGTGACAGATTGTTCATCACTTCTATCATCACCTTTGGACTGTGAAGTCATTTGCTTTCCCTGTGTCCATTCCACCCATCTCTTCAAAACTAAACTGATTTTTGATAAACAATGCATTTCCTCCTCCCCCTGTGTTTCCTCTGTCTTTCCTCAGGACCTGATATCCAGTTGGAACAATTGCTTCTGTTATCATTCCCATGAGCTTTGTTTCTGTGAGTGCTATGAAGTCCATGGATGCCTCAGTGATTTGCTCTTGCCACTCCTCACTCTTATTTTTTTATCCATACATGTTGGTGTACCATACCTTCAGCTTCATTCCCAGTACTGTATTTTGAGTGGAGGGAACTGTTGGTGCTGGCTGAGGGTGGAAGGCAGGGCAAGATATTATGGAAGGTTGCTGTGATGGTGATGTTAGTGCTGGGGAAAGGGCGAGTGTTGTTTGCTTCTGGTTAATGTGTTTGGTTGGTAGGAGTTGAGAAGGGGGGTTCTGTGAGCATTCGTGTTTGATGTTCCCCTTGAGGCTGGGCTCTTTGTTTATTGTTGCCTGTCCTGTCTCTCTTTCCTTCCACTGGTATCTTCTTACTCTCACTCTCAGTTGTTCCTTTTCTTTTCATGTTCTGCTGCAGTCGAGGTACACTTGCTGATATTCTTGGGAGTCCTTTAACAGTAGTTCTTGTTGTAGTATCCTGTTCTGTAACACTTCTGTCTTGAATGTTAATTTAAATAGGCGATTTTTCCCTCAGTGAAAATTTGTTAGTCAGGATATGTCCTTCTCTCCTGTTATTTCCTGTTATTATAATGATGCTCTTAATCTCTTTTTTCTCCCAATGTCTTCTTTCATCATAGGTTGTCCCTTCAGCCTCCTGAAGTCCATGAATAATTATTGACGTCTCCCTCTCTTCTTCTCATTTCTTTTCTCTCTGTATCCTGGATCTGTTTTAAGCATCACCTTTATTGTTTCCGTTATCATGTCCCAGACACCCCGGTGGCTGGGACATGATAACAGGACTTCCTAGCTTCTTTCCCTCCTTCACTCCTTTTGCTGTCTGCTGATGTTCCTATTTCCAGCACTTTGCTTCTTTTGGTCCTTGTTTATATATCCTGCTTCAGCATTTTCCAGTTCTTCTGTCAGGCTCTGAATCTTTGCCTCAGCAACTACAGCTTGTGTCTCTCAGTTCTTGCTCTTTACAGATATCTCCTCTACCATTGTATTGCAAAGGTTGTTTAGCCTTTTTTCCCACTCATGTTCCATTTTGCTCTTAATTCCTTTCTACCTATTCTTCCTTCTCAAACCTTCCATCCTTGGTTTTATCTTGTTAGGATTCTCTAGCTTCTGCAGTCTGTAAACTTTGTGTGTGTGCACAAGATGACCCTTACTGACTACAGCTGACCCCAGCAGACCCCAGTTAACCCTCAGTTGACCCCAGGTGTGCATCTCACATCAGGAGAAGTGTGAACGACGTCAGCTGGTGTGTGACTGGCAGTACCTGACACTGTCAGCCGTCAGGAGGGACGAGGGGTTCGAGTCTGACACTGACTCTTCCGGCAGTGTCTATGATGAACCACTATGTGTCAGCCAGGATGTTAAGGTGAGTGTCAGCCAGGATGTTAAGGTGAGTGTCAGCCAGGATGTTAAGGTGAGAGATACACATCTCTCAGTGTATATACACTGAGATACACATAAAGGCTAGGATCATTGGAGTTTGGACAGGAGTTAGGGATGTCCCATAGCGCAATTGGTAGCGCACTCAGCTAACACTGAGATCCAGGGATCGATCCCTGGAACTGCTGGAAAACTATAGGGATGTGTTTCCATAAGACTCCTGCTGTCCCTGTCCCTGTTCACCCATCAGTATAAAATGGACTGGTGTGGGTCGCATCCTGGGACAAAACTGACCTAATTTGCGGGAAATGCTCAGCATAACAAGGGAAACCATACCCCGGCCGGGATTGAACCCGCGGTCAGAGAGTCTCAAAACTCCAGCCCGTCACGTTAGCCACTAGACCAGCTAGCCACAATAAGATTCGTCCAACTAGGTATATTTCTACACCATAGGAAGGTTAGCACAGGCACCACTGTGACCACAAATGCAAGTTTTTACAGACGAATCTCCAGCTAGCGTGGCCGTGACGAACTCTAGCTCAAGTCCCTTCACTGCCGTCAACATGACGGCATGTATTTGTGGTCACAGTGGTGCCTGTGCTAACCTTCCTATGGTGTAGAAATATACCTAGTTGGACGAATCTTATTGTGGCTAGCTGGTCTAGTGGCTAACGCGACGGGCTGAGTTTTGAGACTCTCTGACCGAGGGTTCAATCCCGGCCGGGGTGTGGTTTGTTTGCAATCGTGTCATTACGATTTCGTGAGTCATAACAAGGGACTTTCTATATAGTAGTATGTCACTGATGTCAGGCTTGATCTGTATACCTTGTACATGTACTTGTAGAAATATATTATTATTATTAGTAGTAGTATTATTATATTGATATATTCTGGTTCTCAGTCTTGGCATATCTCCCACAGGTGATTGACGACCACGTACTACGACTGGACGACCTGCTGAATGCCTCAGGGGAGAGTTATACTTCTCCCAGGGGACAGCTTCCAGCACAGGTTCCCCCAGTGGAACTACCACTGGATGAGAACTGTTCCTCAGCGACCAGCAGTGGTATTGAGAGTGAGGATGACTCTCCTAGGTCCAGCTCTAACCTCCAGGTAGTGTGTGTAGGGTCGACCTCTAACCTCAAGTCTGACCCTCCAGAGTAGGTCTGGCGGGTTCAGTGTTGTTATAATATTGGTCTTTGTGTTAGAGAGAATGTATATTAACTTCTTCCCATCATTCTTAGGTCCAGGACCACAGCAACAACAACACCAGCAGTGACCACAACAACAGCAGCAGCAGTGACCTCAACAACAGCCGCAGTGACATCAACTGCAGTGGGGAAAACAACAGTGGGGACCATTTGCTGATAAGTGACATTCTCTACTGCCATATATCTTCTTCAAGACCTCGAGTTGTGGTCGTAGTAGTTAAAGACTCCAGTGGTACCCAGGTGCATGCCCACGTCTTCCAGTGCCCCACCCAGGACACTGCCCGCACCCTCTATGCCCACTACAAAGAAGCTAGCAGTAAATACAAACTCAACAGGTATAAGAACAGCAGGAGAAAGGAGTGTCAGCAGGGAAAGGAGTCTTTCAGCAGTGGTAAGGTAGTCATAAGCAGTAGCAGGTGTCGAAGTAGTAGCAGTTTCACCTCGCAGGACAGAAGAGGGCGGCCAGGCACCCGTACGCCCGTGCTGGATGCTAATGTGAACGTCATCCAGGTGGGTGTGGAGAGACCAGAGACAGACCCACAGTCGGGTGGTTCACTTCGATGTGTCACTCACATCGAAGTAGATAGTGGACCAGGCAGTCTGGCCAGTAGTGCCTCGGAAACCTCCGATCTCAACTCCATCGGCAGCTACAGCAGTTTAGGGGCCTCCGGACGTGAGGTTCTGATAGCTGGAGAACTAGACAGGAAGTTCAGACAAAGACAGCCTGCACTCCTCCTAAGACAGGATGAACAAGAACCCGATGGCTCCCTCAGGAGACATGAAGAAAAAAGAAAGGAAGAGGAAACCTTTGGACAACAAGAAGTCTTCAGCAGACAGGAAGGAGCCTTTGGAAGACTCCACGACAGCTTGGGAAGACAAGAAGACAACTTTGGCTTTCACACAGACAGCCTCACCAGGAGCAACACAGCAAAAGTTCCTCAACGAAGACATAAAAAACCTGAGGAAGAAGCTGGAAGAAGTCGTCGTTCTGGTCGTGAGAGCCACGAGACCTTGAACCAGGTCCCAGACCCAACACTGCAGCAGTCTTGCAGTCCATACCTGGCCTCGGAGAGGGTCTCCAGACTACGGGACCAGTCCAGGGGGCGCTCTAGACCGGCTCACAAGAAGGGGCCAGCGCCCCCTGTTCCTCCTCCTCGGAAGCACCCAGAGAACCCGTCCCTCCTCCTTGTACCCACTAAGAGTGGGGCAGAACATGCCCGGGCGTTCTACCCCAAGGAATCTCACATCGTCCGTGGAGGTGCAGTCCCTCAGACTGACATACCCTGCCACCCCAGGAGCTACTTAACCCACGACACTAATACTCCCACACACCAGTACCCCTACTACGGTGGTGGAGGAACATGGGTCCATGCCCACGAATACCACGCTCACAGAAGCAGAGAACCAGCCCTCACGCCCGAAATGAGACGACGGTCCCGGTCCAAAAGCCCTGCTCGCAGACCAATGGCCCACCGGTACATTGATGCGGTCTCACAGACCCTCCGAGGCATCTCTGATGCAGTCTTCACCTCCAGGAAGACCACTGGTGGTTCTCCATGGTCTCCAGAGGTCAGAGGTCACCAGAGGTCACGATCTACAGTTTCTGGGGAGACCGACAACACTCTCAGACCTGTTATTAGGAAGGGTCGCAGACCAGAGCCATCACCTCAGTGCCGTAGAGTGACCTTCAGTGCCTATGCAACAGTGCAGGTCATGCAGGCGTGACCCTTGAGCACTGCATGCTAACCTTTGCACTGACCTAATCCTTATCGTAGGGGGTTCGATTCACCGCTTCTTGTCCTGTTTTACATTCAAATGTTTTTAAAATTAAACTGTTATAAGTTACGACATGTGAGGTGAAGTGAACACTTGTTCAACACTGTTGTCACTTGTTCAACACTATTGTCACTTGTTCAACACTGTTGTCACTTGTTCAACACTGCTGTCACTTGTTCAACACTGCTGTAACTTGTTCAACACTGTTGTCACTTGTTCAACACTGCTGTCACTTGTTCAACACTACTGTCACTTGTTCAACACTGCTGTCAGCTCAAGCGTTATGTGATGAAGCTGTACAAGCTTGTCATTACAGCTTGATGTGTTGTGTTAAGACATACACGCGTCTGTATGTGCACAAAGGCAACACATTCGTGTACATGTGCGTATTTGTAATATGATGCTCAAAGGTGTGTATGTGTACTCACCTATTTGTGGTTGCAGGGGTCGATTCACAGCTCCTGTGTGTGTGTGTGGTGTTATATATATAATATATATATATATATATATATATATATATATATATATATATATATATATATATATATATAATATATATATATATAATATAATATATATATATATAAATATTTTGATAGCCCTACATCAGGAGTTTGCAATATTGCAGGAGGAGGTGCAAGCAAATACGATTACAGGGAACACCTTTGGTGGGGCGAGGCAGAGAGGCAGGAGGCAGGAAGTGCCCTCAGGTATACCATACCCATAGCCAGAAAAACTGAATATTATAGCATTAGAAAAACAAGCATCGCACAAGCACTGAGTAAAGACATCCTGCCATGTAAAGCTAAATGGTTCAGACATGTGGACGACATCCTGTGTCTTTGGCCAAATTATATGACTCGTGATACATTAATACCAAGACTTAATGCTTTGGTCCGTCTATTAAATTCACTGTGAAGACAGGAGTGGACTCGAGACCTTTATTCTTAGATGTGTTGATACACCGGGTTGATAGAAAGGTTAAGTTTGCGGTATATAAGGCGGCCACCAATGTGTGCTTATACTGTCACTGCAGTTCCAACCATCAGACCAGACTTAAAAGGAGTGTATTTCTTACAGTGTTTCTGAGAGCTTATAGAGTGTCAAGTCTAGAGTTCCTAGATGAAGAAATTAGGAAAATATTTGACATTGCCATGAAACTGTGGTATCTTAAGGAGTTCATGGAATCTGCCTTGCTGGCAGCTAAGAACAGAGCCTAGGATGACACCTCAGACCAAGAAAGTGTTAGCTCTCCCATACAATGAGAATTTGTCTGTCCTACTGAATGCCCTTAAAAGATTTAATATACAAGTAGTTTTTTAAGAATTCACAAACTGTTGGAAGCATTCTGATAACAAATTTTCCTCAACAGTGTATTGGTGGTGTCTACAGAATTGGTTGCAGTTTATTCTCTGTGGAACAGACTGACAAACCTCTAGATGTTAGGATATCACAACACCATTATTCGATACGCACTGCACAGGACTCGAACACAGTTTTAAGCCACATTAGAGCTTGCAATAACCCAGCAAACTGGTTGGAAGTCAGAATTGTCCCTTTTTCTTCTAGGCTTGAATGGAATATTGTAGAATTATAAAACACAAGTGTTCATTATACAATAACAGTGGCAGGTTATTAATTTTTAGTTTTTAGTTGAGACAGTTGTACATAGCCAAAAATCGGACGCATGTACAAATACATTGGATTGTCTTAAATGTAGTTCCACACTGAGGAATCAGGGTATGTTTCTCTTGCTTGTTTTCTAATGGTTAGACCTGAGTTTGCCTAAGGATCTTGTGGGTTAAACTATTACCATCCGCCTTGAAATTTCAGATGCCTCCCCTTTAAATTAGTCCCTTTAAATGGGCCCCTTTTCTAGAGGTGCGAAAATTCCCAAGACAGTTACCAGATTTATCTATATTCGGTATGTAAAGTCATTTATATCATATCCAGCAACTGCCTCAGAAAATTTTGGGATAAACTTGGCTGTCTACCTTTGTTTAACTTTCAGATGTATCCTCTTAAATGTGTCCTTTTAAAGGCACTTCCTGCCTCTCTGACTGTGAGTACTGGTGTTCCTGGGGAGACTTAATGCCTCTCTGACTGTGAGTACTGGTGTTCCTGGGAGACTTAATGCCTCTCTGACTGTGAGTAACTGGTGTTCCTGGGGAGACTTAATGCCTCTCTGACTGTGAGTACTGGTGTTCCTGGGGAGACTTAATGCCTCTCTGACTGTGAGTACTGGTGTTCCTGGGGAGACTTAATGCCTCTCTGACTGTGAGTACTGGTGTTCCTGGGGAGACTTAATGCCTCTCTGACTGTGAGTACTGGTGTTCCTGGGGAGACTTAATGCCTCTCTGACTGTGAGTACGGTGTCCTGGGGAGACTTAATGCCCTCTGACTGTGAAATACTGGGGTTCCTGGTGAACTTAATGCCTTTCTGGACTGTGAGTACTGGTGTTCCTGGGGAGACTTAATGCCTCTCTGACTGTGAGTACTGGTGTTCCTGGGGAGACTTAATGCCTCTCTGACTGTGAGTACTGGTGTTCCTGGGGAGACTTAATGCCCCTCTGACTGTGAGTACTGGTGTTCCTGGGGAGACTTAATGCCTCTCTGACTGTTTAGTACTGGTGTTCCTGGGGAGACTTAATGCCTCTCTGACTGTGAGTACTGGTGTTCCTGGTGAGACTTAATGCCTTTCTGACTGTGAGTACCGGTGTTCCTGGGGAGACTTAATGCCTCTCTGACTGTGAGTACTGGTGTTCCTGGGGAGACTTAATGCCTCTCTGACTGTGAGTACTGGTGTTCCTGGGGAGACTTAATGCCTCTCTGACTGTGAGTACTGGTGTTCCTGGGGAGACTTAATGCCTCTCTGACTGTGAGTACTGGTGTTCCTGGGGAGACTTAATGCCTCTCTGACTGTGAAAACTTTGGTTTCCTGGGGAGACTTAAAGCCTCTCGACTGTGAGTACTGGTGTTCCTGGGAAAACTTAATGCCTCTCTGACTGTGAGTATGGTTCCTGGGAGGAAATTAATGCCTCTCTGACTGTGAGTACTGGTGTTCCTGGTGAGACTTAATGCCTTTCTGACTGTGAGTACCGGTGTTCCTGGGGAGACTTAATGCCTCTCTGACTGTGAGTACTGGTGTTCCTGGGGAGACTTAATGCCTCTCTGACTGTGAGTACTGGTGTTCCTGGGAACTTAATGCCTCTCTGACTGTGAGTACTGGTGTTCCTGGGGAGACTTAATGCCTCTCTGAGTGTGAGTACTGGTGTTCCTGGGGAGACTTAATGCCTCTCTGACTGTGAGTACTGGTGTTCCTGGTGAGACTTAATGCCTCTCTGATTGTGAGTACTGGTGTTCCTGGGGAGACTTCCTGCCTCTCTGACTGTGAGTACTGGTGTTCCTGGGAAGACTTAATGCCTCTCTGATTGTGAGTACTGGTGTTCCTGGGGGTACTTCCTGCCTCCCTGACTGTGGGTACTGGTGTGCCTGGGGTACTTCCTGCCTCTCTGACTGTGGGTACTGGTGTGCGTGGGGTATTTCCTGCCTCTCTGACTGTGGGTACTGGTGTGCCTGGGGTACTTTCTGCCTCGCTGACTGTGGGTACTGGTGTTCCTGGGGCACTTCCTGCCTCCCTGACTGTGGGTACTGGTGTGACTGGAGCACTTCCTGCCTCCCTGACTGTGGGTACTGGTGTGCCTGGGGCACTTCCTGCCTCCCTGACTGTGGGTACTGGTGTGCCTGGAGCACTTCCTGCCTCCCTGACTGTGGGTACTGGTGTGCCTGGAGCACTTCCTGCCTCCCTGACTGTGGGTACTGGTGTGTCTGGAGCACTTCCTGCCTCCCTGACTGTGGGTACTGGTGTGCCTGGGGCACTTCCTGCCTCCCTGACTGTGGGTACTGGTGTGCCTGGGGCACTTCCTGCCTCCCTGACTGTGGGTACTGGTGTGCCTGGGGCACTTCCTGCCTCCCTGACTGTGGGTACTGGTGTGCCTGGGGCACTTCCTGCCTCCCTGACTGTGGGTACTGGTGTGCCTGGGGCACTTCCTGCCTCCCTGACTGTGGGTACTGGTGTGCCTGGGGCACTTCCTGCCTCCCTGACTGTGGGTAACTGGTGTGCCTGGGGCACTTCCTGCCTCCCTGACTGTGGGTACTGGTGTGCCTGGGGCACTTCCTGCCTCCCTGACTGTGGTACTGGTGTGCCTGGGGCACTTCCTGCCTCCCTGACTGTGGGTACTGGTGTGCTGGGGCACTTCCTGCCTCCCTGACTGTGGGTACTGGTGTGCCTGGGGCACTTCCTGACTCCCTGACTGTGGGTACTGGTGTGCCTGGGGCACTTCCTGCCTCCCTGACTGTGGGTACTGGTGTACCTGGGGCACTTCCTGCCTCCCTGACTGTGGGTACTGGTGTGCCTGGGGCACTTCCTGCCTCCCTGACTGTGGGTACTGGTGTGCCTGGGGCACTTCCTGCCTCCCTGACTGTGGGTACTGGTGTGCCTGGGCACTTCCTGCCTCCTGACTGTGGGTACTGGTGTGCCTGGGGCACTTCCTGCCTCCCTGACTGTGGGTACTGGTGTGCCTGGGGCACTTCCTGACTCCCTGACTGTGGGTACTGGTGTGCCTGGGGCACTTCCTGCCTCCCTGACTGTGGGTACTGGTGTACCTGGGGCACTTCCTGCCTCCCTGACTGTGGGTACTGGTGTACCTGGGGCACTTCCTGCCTCCCTGACTGTGGGTACTGGTGTGCCTGGGGCACTTCCTGCCTCCCTGACTGTGGGTACTGGTGTGCCTGGGGCACTTCCTGCCTCTCTCCAGCAAGGATGTTCCCTGGGATGGTATCTTCCTGGACTTCCTCCTGTTTTTTGTGCAACATTGCAAGCTTCTGATGATGTGTTTATTGCAACACGAGAGGCCCAGAACTATCATTCAACTTCCCCGTGGATGTTTAATATATATATATTATATAATATATATATATATATATATATATATTATATATATATATATATATATAATATATATATATATATATATATATATATATATATATATTATTGGTTAATTAGGGTAAAAATATTTTGTAAATATTTAAGATAATAAAATTATTACTCAAATCAAAATTATCCTTAAAAAATTTATTTATAATAAAGACCTTTTTATCTTATTACTGTCAGAGTACATATTGAGTACATATTGAGCACATACTGAGTACATGTTGGGTACATATTGAGTACATGTTGAGTACATGTTGAGTACATATTGAGTACATGTTGAGTACATATTGAGTACATGTTGAGTACATAATGAGTATATGTTGAATATATATTGAGTACATGTTGAGTACATGTTGGGTACATATTGAGTACATGTTGAGTACATGTTGAGTACATGTTGAGTACATGTTGAGTACATATTGAATACATACTGAGTACTAATGATATATTTTGAATAATACTGATACTTTTGACACATTTTTGATC